TTAAAAAGTTATATAAAATGACTTAAAAATTATGAGATTGATTTCAAAATCAATGACATTGAATTATATTTGTTTTAAAATATAAATATAAAGATAAAATTTTGTAGAAAAAGATGAGTTTTTATAGATTTACGATTCAAAAATTGTTCAATACGAAATAATTGTAAGATTTCGATTTTTATGAGAACAAGTTTAGTAAGTTAAATCCGTTTGTTAACTGTCAGTAGTTGATTTTTTCTGTCAGTATTTTTTAAAATTAAAATATTTTTATTACTATTACATTTGAATTTAGAAATGCTTATTTTGAAAGTTGATAAAATTTGATTTGCAATAGTTTTTTTTTAGACTATTGTGTCTTATTTCTTAATTTTATTACGTCTCTTATCACCGAATCCGCTTTAGCAGTCGATTTTTATTTAATTTTTTACCCTCGTCTCTTATGTACTTATCGTTTATAATTACCTGATAAGAAGCGGACTTACTTTGATGACCTTGACGTACGTCAATCATCCTCGCGACAACGGTAATTGTTACGTGTCCGTCCCTCGAGAGTCGTACGTGTGCGACGTATAGATATGTTATACGCGTCGCATATTCGCATCCGTCAGATTTTCCGCGTCTGTGAGTCGATGCGACACACGCTTCCCGTAGACGATCGTAGGGAAACCTTCAGGGGTGAAAACGCGCAGGGGATAGCGGCAATCTCCGTCGAAACGCATTTCTCACCGCCGCGGTTGGAAATGAAATATTCCGGTGTTTTTTTTTTATTTGGGCATTGGATACTCGCTATATTGGAAAGATATGTAGACTTAACAAAACGTGCGAGAATATTTGAGCACAGAATATTTAAATTAAAATGATAGTAAAAGTTCAATTTTTTTTAATGGAATGATAAATTAAAGTGGAATAGAATATCGTTCCACCATTTTTATCCTTTATTTAACAATTATTTAATATTTACATATACAGTTTGTACAGAGTGTTTGAGCAGGATCGACTTCGATTTTCACGAGGATAAAATATAAAGCGAGTTACTATTGCAATTGATCATACCTGCAACCATTTCCTCTCGCTAATAATTTGCATGCTCGAGATGTGTCACGAATGTACAAAAGAGTCGAAATGGCAGGAACAACCCTCGGAGTTGCGTCGCGTCGGGGCACGCACGGGAGGGCGCGTCGAGGGCGCGTGTCCGCGTTCCCACGTGTCGACGACGCCGGGGGTCGTATCGGCGCACACGTTGTGTGCCGTCGTTCCGTCACGTTTCTCACTCGCGCGGATTCTACACCGATATTTGCCCTACTCGCGGCTGTAAGTGGGCGCGACCGACCTACGACAGACAATCTCGAAACTCTGCGCAAACAATCGACTGCCTCTCGTAACGATACGATCTCCCGTTCGCGCGTATTGCACTCTCGTCGTTTTTCCACTCGTGATAAATGTGATAGCTTCCTTACGCAGGATTAATCTTGATCCTCTTTAAGAGGAATTTGTATGAATCTCATTGTTGTATAAATTGTATTGGAATTATATTTTACTTAAATATTTTGCACTTATCGGGAATAAATTTCTATATTTCTAGAATATTTCAAATTTCTATAATACGTCAAAAAAGTAAGAAAAATTGATTATGCAATTTTAGCAGAATACTATTTTTTGCTTTTTTTTTAAATTTTATGATTTATAATTATATTCCCAACGTTTATTTATTTCACGAGAAGTACAAAGGATTCATCTCGTCTAATAGTTATACATTAGAATTAACAGTACTCGCAATCGTGACGATTAAATGTATACGTAAGTCCGAGAGAGATTCCACGAAGAGACCGGCGACCAAGTCCTCGGAGGGAGCGAGGAAGAAAGCGTTAATTAACTAAAATCAGATCCGGATAATCGAAATAATCTCCGGGGCCGCAACGAGAAGGGATTAGGCGTCTACCGAAATACTAATCCATTTGTTATACACCACCAGCAGTAAAATCTATCCTCTCGGTCGCGTTTCTAGAACGTTGTTATTTTAGGTGATATCTGAGAGTACGACGACGGAGATGCGAGGGGGAACGGTGAATAGATTGAGGAGAGGCAGAAGGGAGACGGAGGACGGTCGTCGTCGCGCAGGTTGTGGGTCGAGCCTTAGCGAGGGAAGCGCCCGAGGACCCTCGAAGGTAATCTTGGCTCGTTCGCGGAGGGTTGCATTTTGATCCCCGGAGCTTCCGCAGCGGCACGATCTCTCCGCGCCACCACCGCGTCCGGACTCACGCATTTACTATAATTAGAACTCCCTAATTAACGAGCAAACGTCGCACGGGGCTGTCGTAATCTCGGGCTTGACCTTCCACCGTCGTTTAGACGCCTTTTCTCGCCCCGCGTTTTAATCCGCCTTCTTTCTCTTTTTCCCTTCCCCTCTAGCTGCCCACTCGCGGGAGATCAAGAAAAAGTGTAGGTTGCGCGTAGCACCGAAATTTATTCCGCTCTCTTTATTTCGAGATTAGGAGAGACATATGTATATAGTAAGCGCGATGTGTTCGAGGATTGTCGAAAAGCGTATGCGATTCAAATTTTCAATTTACTCTTTTAGCAAAGAAAACATATGTGTCATTAGATTTTTTAATTATTATTAAACATCTCTGCGGTACTTGATATTTATATGGAGATGCTTGGAACAATTTTAAAATCTCGTAATTTGTAATTTCCTCACACTAATCATATACACGTATGTGTGTATTTATATACTAATTTCATGAATCGACGTGAAAAGGGTGTTTCTTAAACATATTTCAAGCGATCCTTAATCCTCTCGTTTGGCCGCACACGGCGGTGGAGTTCTTTAAAGCTCGTGGACGAGAAATGATAACACGTTCCCCGCGCGTTTGTTCCCACCGCACTCGAAATCACGCGAGACATAATGTCAACTCCCGACACTGTCGTGCAAACTCAATGTTCCTTTCCCATAGGACGAGTTGTTTTAAAATAACTTTAAAATATTGAGTAAACAGTGTGCAGGCGTGCGACCGAATTGAGTAGAAATTAAAAAATAAGCTTCCTAAGCTGCCACCCTCTGATAGGTCTAATTCGTTAGAGAGAGGGTAACCTTTTCATTGAGTACCAGTGGGGACCGGGAAACAGAAAATAAATAGAAGTCAGGGGGGGTAACTTCCTTTATAGGATTGCTCTCTATTTAATGGAACATCAATAAAATTTCATTGAGATGTGAGATTTTGCATTTTAAATTTACACAGAATACAGACGAAGTACAAAGTAGCTTGACAAATAGTCAAATATCGCAGTACAAATATCGCATAAAATTCTTAATATTATAATTACTGAATAAGTCTTAAAAGATAAATATTGTAAAATATTACAAAGATAAAAATTTAAAGAAGAAAACTTGTGTGTGTGTGTGTGGTTTATATATATATATATACAATATGAAAAATATTGCTATAAGATTTGCGTGTAGTATTATTTGTATTCTAATATAAAATTCCTTCATATTGTAAAATAATTAGCAAAAATATTGATTTAACAATTCAAGAAGCGATGAATTAAAATGAAAATTACATAGTATGACATCTAATTAATTTAGTATGCTGCTGTTTATCATTCGATGTGTCATTTGCGGCTTTGTCTACTTAGATGAAACGACGGTAGAAGAACGATTTCGAAAGAAACGATAAAACCCGATGGGTGGGTGCCAGTGTGCACCGCGCTGATAAATATAACGTAACAAGTTCAGTGGAATAACAGCTTCATCCTGAGGGGATCAATGCGACTTTGCTTCGACTTTCACGCAGAATTTCCTTCTGGAAAAGCATACGCGTGAAAGAATCGAATAGATAGAGTGAAGTCGATATAAATATGGTCTTCACAATAACAGTATCATTGTGTCATTATTTAATCATTGTTTATGTAAAAGTGTTTTCATAAATATTGAAATGCTATGGCAATTAAAATTAATTTTTTAAAATGATTATAATACACGTCATTGGCGATTTAATATGCATCGCATCTTTATGTCATTAAGTTAAATAATCCGATTTGATCGTACTAATTTTTGTTCCATTATTTTTGTTTGATCAATTTTATTGCAAAATGAGCATTAATTCATCCTTGCTTCAGCACGGTGTACAATCTCACGCTTTTATCAAGTGCGAATTTCATTGTTGAATGCCATGAATAACGCTCGAATTGATGCTTTTTTACCTAAATTGATTGCGTCCGACGGAGCATATCGCGACCGGCCGTTAATTTGCAATGACGAAGAAGACCTCCATTTTCTTAACGGGGGCGGCAAAACTACGCGACCGTAAAAAGTAAATTAAATAAGAATTAAATACAAATAAAACCGCTCAGCCAAGTAATTGGCTGGTAACCTCGCCCGTTGCCTGACGACCGTCTGAGATCGTTCTACTCTTATACCGCACCCGGCGCCTCTCTCCGCCGCTATACCGGGAAAGAAAAAGAATCCGCGTCAATAGACACGCGCCGCCGCGTAATCCGCAGAAAAATAGCTATCTTTGGGACTGCCGCGTTTACGATTAATCGAAATAATCACAAGCAACGAATCGCCGTGGCTCGACGCGCAATATGTAACAAGTTCAAATAATAAATAGTGCGGAAACTCTGGCTTTTCTAAATTTTCAATATAAAAATAATGAAAAAAAAACACGAAAATTTATCATCACGCACCGTTGCGTTTTGTTCGGCAAAGAAGAGCTCGGAGAATAGGGTCAGAGAGAGAGAGAAAGGGAGAGAAAGAGGAAGAGTGTCATACCATGTCTCACAGCCGAGATGGAGTTTTCGTGACGAGACGGTCGGCGGGGCAATCATGGCCGGATTAGACGTATGTATAAGGATCGTGCTGCCTACTCCCGCCCGGCGGAGTGAGAGAGGCTGCCGGAGGGTTGCGAGCCGGGTCAAACGGGTCGCAAGATAGACGCGGGGATGAGAAGCATAAATGATATTCCATGAGGAGCATATGCGTGCGGAGATGGCTCCTCCTCCGCGCGGGCCTTCTCGGCGGAGGGTGGCTCCACTGTCACCCCGAGCTGGCAGCGGGGCGCTGGTTTATTACAAACAAGGATTACCCGGGTAATGGGACATTCTGTCCCTTCGGCTCACTGTCGAGCCGAGCTGAGAACTCGGTGCGCACTGACTCACGCTTCTGCCTGTTCGCTCTGCCGATCTTCCGACCGCCTGTACGTCGGACTGTCAAAGGGGCGAAAGTACGAGCGGCAGCCGGGAGATCTCCGATCGCGATAACCAAGACGTACTCGTGAAGCACTGAGCCATCGGGTAAATTTGTCAACACAATCAGATAAGGATAATCGGACAGTCGGATAGTTGTTCACGCGGTGAAACAACGGCGACGATTGACGCGATTTAATCATACGCGTCCTCATGACACTCGGGAATCTTAATACGATCAATTTCGCGCCTATATTACCTTAACGTTGACGATTTACTGCTCCTCTGAGTGCCGCGAGCGCTCCAAATTGCAAATCTCGGCAGATTATGCCAATAGCGATAATGGTATTTGTAAAAGCAGAGACTTCATTCGGCGAATTGCAGGTTTCAGCTTAATCCAAACGTTCTCCAAGCGTGCCGCTCAAACACTGTCCAAATCCGTGTTTAAATACTGTAAAAAGTTCCGTCGATTTTGCGACTGTATCCGGGATTCGATTGGTCCATATGAGGACCCTCGATATTTAATTTCACGCTGCTCGGATGAATTCTCCGTGGTAAAGTTGAGCCGCTATAACACTTCGATTTATCCGTCGATAAAGGTGCCCGAACTAACGATTTAAGTTCCTCGTCCGGATGACCGCTCACGTGCATCGGTCTATCGGGTTTAGGCGGTTCCGGCACAATCTGAAAATATTCAGGCATATATCGACATATATATCAACTTATTTTTTACATTAAAAATTTGTTTATTACCGACATTCGAATGATATGATACATTTATGTAATTCGATATGTACCTTGATCTCATTCCGCAAGACGCGCCAAGTTTCCTTGCCGAGCGTTTCCGGCTGCATCGGCACGTACATCTTTGGCACCAAAGTATCTCGGCTGTGAGCATAAACGCTGGTTAGCGCGAAATCGAGAGCATCTTTCGGCACCTGTAAAAACAGTCGTGTATGTCGGAAAAAAATCATGGCGCAATAAAAGTTTTACTTCTGTATGTCGAATGTCGAACCTGGAATCTGACGAATCGATGATCTTTGCGAATGCTATTCAGAGTGTGATGAGCGAAGAGACGCTCGTGGGCGCTCAATTTGACGTTCCAGTCTCTGTCCGATGGTGAGACTTTGTCTCCCAATACGGGTCCGCGTGATATCCAAGCTCCTTCCCGGGAGACATCCGGCACAGGATAAGGATTCCGAACGTAGAATGCTTGCGCCATTGTGTTCCGATCTATCAGTGTTACTTGAGAATATATAATACATACGAGTCAATTTTCTAGAAGTCTCGAATCATCTCAACCCTAATATTATTGCGAATTAAAAGCGATGTCCTGTCAACGAGTCGATCAATTAGTTTACCGAGAGAAGTGCGCAGGCAAATGTAAAATTATCGGCTATTCACGTGTTTTAGAGATTCTAGTTAACAAGTTAAATTAGCTCATTCTCAATTTTTCTCTAGAAAACTTTTTATCTACGAGAAACGATCTAGAAATAAAGCATCGAGATATTTACAACTTTTATAACTTTATTACAAAGTTGGATTTATTCCAATATATATGTCTTATTTATTTTGCTTTTAATTACTCTAATATTTCGTTCATATTTTTCGAAATATATTTCTAATTAATTAAAGCGAACGTCTTCGCTATGCTCTTATTTATACGAGCATTATTCCTGCATTGTAACTCCATAGCTTCCTGTAAATCTAAAAACTTCCCCTGTACTTCGTAAATCTATAGTAAACAACGGCAAACCGCGTTCGACCACGGTGCTCAAGTGCTCGCATCCGGTCTCGCGCGGTCTGTTTCTTTGGGATTAAGATGCGTCTCTACCGCAACTTGACCATAGGGCAACACTCGAGTTGACTCGCGGCTCGCGTGGATTCCTCATTTACAAACGAGACCGACCTTAATTCATGCCAACGGTCTGCATCGTATCACTCTCTACGGGGTGTCCACTTATCGTTCCTTCCGCTCCTTCTCACTTTCGTGGTGCCACGATACTTGGATGCTCTTTAAGGGTAAGCACCTAAAGCTTCCCGAAATCATTTATGAATGCTTTCGCGTTGTGAAAGGGCCTATTGTGAAATTCAGTCGAGATTTTTCATAAATAATGCCATTCATACGCTCCTTTTGCGCTTATCCTTTTGAACTTAACTCTTGTCAGTTGTGTGCTACCGAAGTTTTATCGTAGACAATGATGCAAGTATTAATTGAATCCGACAGTTGCGAATAAGTTTATAGCAGTTTAGATGTTTGGGGACCAATTTATACCTTGAAAGAAAAAAATTACAAAATATTGACATTAAAACACTGATAATAAATTTGAAGCTATTTAAATGTAAATTCCAAAATTTTAATTTATACGAATTCTCGTGATTGCACAGAGCAATTTTCTCTCCGATTTTTATATATTATCTCTCTGAAACAAAATGCGCGTTTACGTAATTGTTACTGTTTGCATGTCTAGTATCGGGTTTTCGAGGAGTTTTTTGCTTAAAACTACAGAATGATCCTAGGAATCGCGAATCGCTGTCGCATGCACCGGGATCTCCCCGCATTTAACGTGTTTTGCTCAGGAGGTGGTCGGCCACGGCCAACGCCGACGTCCAATATTAAACCCGCAGTAATTTATGTTAGCGCGAGAGCGTGCATAATGCTGTTTGTATAAAGCGCTACCGCCACGTGTCGACTCGTGCCGACGGTACGTATCACTCCCTCCTGCCTGTCCTTTAATTCTCGTGTAGGCGACGCGCAAAATCCCGGCCAGTACATACGCATGCCATTCTAAATGCATCCTTACGCCTTGAATGCTCAGACACATAAAGAGAGAATAATATTCCGGTCCGTTGGTCGGATCCTGTATTTGTATTAAGCGAACTTTTTCCAATTTTTAATTTTATAAAAACTTGTCCACTTTTTAAATTCTAGAAAGTTTTTATAGTTTTATGTTAAAAATATTGCAGATTTTTATATATATATTTTTTTTTCATTTGAAATGAGTCATAAATATTCGATTTTTATTTTCTGCAATATGACATCGTCGACGATAATCCTCATATTAGTTAAATAAATCTCGAACGAAAAATTGGCACCCTTTTATTTCGCGGCAGATGCGCTTATTACACAATGTAGGATTGCTACTCGCGGAGGGTGGAAGAGCGCGATCATCTTCCGCGTCATTGCTCGTTCGACCTCTCCTTCGGGGCATCAGCCCGGGTTATACGACGGGGAGACGACACGCGTAATCGCGTAATCGCGTAATCGTGGCGCGTGCTGAAGTTCGGGTTGCGGGAGCTTTGCGTGCGTCTACACTGGCACACGTGCGACGTTGTACACCCTGAATCAACAGCGATCGCGAATCGCACAGATCTATTCGTGAACGTCAAACGGACGCGTCCGTCCGCCCGGGCGGCGGCGAATCCCGGCAGCGCGTTTTACGAGATAATCGGCACAACGACCTGAACAGGATTACCGTCGACTATCATAAGCGCATCAAGTGTGCTCCGACCGAAATGACGACACTAATTAAGCAAAATACGATCATGAAAATGATCGTATTTTCAGATATCTCTTAAATAATGGATTAATAATTAATTCAAATTAATAGTCAATATAAATATTATAATATCATAGTTCTGCCATGTGACAAAAAATTGAGATAATTCTATAACTTAGCTTTTATGATTTTATTCGTAGCATGTGAAAAGATTTCTTTAAACACAAGATATAATTTTTTTATTGGTTTTTAAGGCATATTGCATTTTATTTGAAAAAAAATTATTTATAATCTTTTTACGTTGTATTTTCTACATGTTTGCATTTACAAATTTTTTAAGTTTTGCGTATTAAAATCGTCAATGTATAAGTTTCATCAAAAAGTTTGAAATCTTGAACCTGTTCCTTCACTTTTTGGGGGGTTTATTGGCGATGTTTACCGTCACACTATACAGCATTGTGCGATGTATTTCGCAGGAATGACCGAGTTTCTGCGACCATGCCGTGATTCCGTTTCCCTTTAAATCCTAATCCGGTAATATCCTTAGGTCGATATACCGGCATCGGTAATGGAATCGTGCATTCAAATGGACATCGTTTCCCACCGGCGACGGCGGCGGCAGGAGGCAGGTCGCAGCAAGGGCAATGCCGGGGGATGGATATTGCCAATATTTGGCTTGATTCTGGTGCGGAATGTGCTCGGTTGTGTGCCGAGGGGTGCGCCCGTTCTCGCACCCCCTTGAAACAGAGTTGGGTAGGGCGCGCCGGTGTACGTTAGACGCGCGAGCCGATTACCATTTGAATGTTCCGACCGGCGGTCAGCCTTTGTCAGCCCTCGTGACACTGACCGCACCTACCTATCTATCTAAGGGAGAGATTCACCTATCCCCTCTTAACTGCCCCTTTTTGTCGACGACCGTCTGTTTCACGATGATGCTGCGTCGAAGAAGAAGAGAAATCGTTGAGATCCGTCTACATTTCTACACCTCTTGCTCTCTCTTAATTTTTTTTTCTCGATCATTCCGACATTGGTTGTCAATCGGTGCTTTTCGTCCGAAAGATCGATCGGTGTCGATTTAGCAGAAAAAAAGACATTCGAATCGATCGAATTGGCACAAATAATTCGCTTTTGGAGTCCACGAGAAGGTGGACCCTTCTAATCGATTGAGTCTAAGGGGCGTTCCGTCGACCAGCGCGCTTCTCTTTGTTTCCTCGCGATTTGACATATTTGTCGTTTTGCCGGTATTGTGTCCAAACAGCGACAGATGATGATGACAAAAGCCGGGAAAGGCTAGCGCGGTTTTGTTGGGAAACATCCGGACTGATCCGGGCGAACGACACTCCCATCGTAAGCGTGGATTCGATATCCTAGGAATGTATTTTCAATGTGCCATCGTCAAGTCGCAAACTGAATTTTACTTTTATGAATGTATCGTTAAATGTGCACATTTGAATTTTTCACAACATAAATCACATAATTTTTATCGTTTATTAATATCTTCCCAGCAAGCATTAATGTACATAATTATGGATATTTAAATATATTAATTCTGAAAGAGCGTTCTTCATGTAATCTTAAACATATACATTTTGACAATGTTTATTATTCTTAGCTGATATATATATATATATATATTTTTTTTTTATTAAAAATCAAGGCGCGTTAATACACGTTGTAGAAGGAAATTATTTAGATTTGACGCAGGAAAAGTAGAATTTCTGTTTGCAATTTTCGCAGATAAGTCAACATTAGTTTCCACGGTGCACAGTTCACGACCCTCAATGTAGAATAATGTCTTACACCCTGCGTGACCGATGCGATGAAACGAATAGGGCGGACGAAGCGGCGGTGCGACAGGTGGCCCGTGAAATCAGTGCACGAGCGCGCCGTTTTCCACAACCCTCATTCGATGCGCTTCATTAGGAAATTAAGTGCATAATAATTAGAGTCGGGGTGCCGATAGATGACGTTAAACGCTCTGTCTCTTTTCCTTGTGTTGTCCCGAACGATCTAATGCATCGTATAACCAATTTATCTTCACAATGCGCGATTTAAAATGGTCGTAAAATGAAATACTACATCTGTTTAACGTTAATTTAAAAAAATGGAAATATAATTGTTATCATTGCAATCATAGCAACTTACTTTCGAAAACGTATCTGTAGCAATATATTAATAACTAATATAAAAAGATATATCTTTTTAATATAAATAATGAATGTAAAATGTCATCATGACAGATTCTTACTCGCAAAAGAAATAATCTTGCTCATATAAAGCTAAAATTAGTTAAGCAGTGTTATCGTTAAGAAAAAAATTACATTCAACAATACATATCGAAGAATCCGTGCGTGAAATATTTTTCGATAAGTGTAGAAAATTCTGTATACAATACTCGTGCACAATTTGCATACCGATGATCAAGGGGGGTGCTTGCGCGGTTTCGTGTGTCGCGCGGGCGGTGTATTTTAGCATTTCACGTTTGTTTCCATTTAAATGGTAATCGAGTTCATAATGTAATTGTATTCGCCGCGTAAGCCCGGGCTCACCGCAGCGCTACGTCCCGACCATTGTTTGCATTGTTCTCTTCGCGGCGCGAACAATCCGCGCGCGGCGCAGCCTTTCAGCCTCGCGTTTTGGCGAAATCTAAACCCCCGGCCCTTCCTCTCCGCCGCCACCGGCGCCCGATATTTCGTCCCAATGCGAAAACAACGCGTATCTC